GGGGCTGGACTCAATGATCTTCCGAGGTCCCTTCCAGCCCTAATGTCTATGAAATCTATAAAGGGGCCTCATACCCATTCCCCTGTGTTCAGAGGTAGTCATTAAGCGAAAGAATCCCCCAAATCACTAATTTAAACAGTCACACACTGCAAAGTACAATGTCCAAAACACCAAGAACAAACTATAACAGCTAAAAGCAGGGGAAACAAGACAACAATGCACTGCTACTTTCTTTTCAAGTAGCCTCACTGTTTTTAACAGCACTAGTTGAGGATCAAAAGTACTACTCAACCTGAGAAAAAGGCATCCGCAGCCCTACGTAACTAATGATGAATTAGGGACAGGTTCTGCTTAGTTTTGATACTGACCTGTAAGGCGTAAGTATGTTAAGTGGGGGAGGCTGTTCACAAATGTCATAAGTCTCTTGTAGAGGAATAGGTAGAGTCTTGCGGTCAAACAGCTGTTGATCTTGAATTGTGGAACTCCTGAAAGCTTTTCTCATTGTAATGTCTTGCAATGACACTGAAAGGAGACATGAAAATAAAATGAAAACAAATCAACCAATCAACTAACCAAGGATCAAGCATATTTGATTTGGTTTAATTTATCTGATGTCAAATGTTTTACAACTGCTAAACATTCTTTTTGCTAATAATTTTTGAGTAGCATTTACATTTTACAGAGGTATATTATTAAACTATTACTACCCTAAAAAGTGTAGTTAGATAATGAGAAAAACATAATATGTATGTTAGCACATTGTCAATTATTTCTAATCAAAGGCAACGTGTTTTTTTAACTAGACTCATGATGGTAACAGAATTCTGTTTTCCATAAAAGGCATCCCTCAGTTAAGGTTAATGTGTCAAAAGAAGGGTTCTGTAGCCACACAAATGCGATTCTGTATCTTTAAAGTCCCAAATAAAATTAACCTATTCTTAATATCCATGTGGTGGCTTGTGTCTGTTGCTTTCATTGACATTAATATGTACTAATTTGCATTCCTTGCACATGCAGCTGTCCAACTGAGATGCCAAATCAGCAAGGCGCAAAAGCCTATCCCAAACAATGAAAGATTAGTGGCAGGTGGTGTTTAATCATTCATTCCTGCATTCCTTGAAACCATTAAAACGTTCTTCTAAACAGGTTGCTAAATCAAGATGCGATTCTTCCATTTAATATAAAGAATTTTTGTAACATGGAATTATAAGCAATTAATGACCAGTATACGAGATTACAATTAAATGAATGAGCAAGAGCCCAGTGTCAGAGCAATACATTAAAATGCCATTTCCAAAAATTACAAAATGTCAACTAATAAGTTCTTAGATAACAACAATTAAGGCCAGCAACTCATTTTCAACTGTTTTAAAAACGATCATGATTAAAAAAAATAGGTTGAGTTGGAAGCATTCCTATTAAGATTCTAAGAAGGTTAATTGAAAAATGACTCTAACAGATGAAGTTTGCATTACACATTCATGAAACCGTGCATCTGTTCAAATTTTTTTCTTTCCTTTATGCTCAAACATTTCTCCCATGAAGCCCAGTTGTCTCCTAAACTTAGTCGTTACAAGTAAATGTCGGCTTTCCAGCTCTGATAAAGGAGAAACCCTATATTTGTAAGCTAAGGTATTTATTTCATGTCAAAATAAGTCAATGCTGAAAGAAAAAAACGTTAATCCACCATAAATTTTCAACAGAAAATACTATTTATAAAGTTAAATTGTGTTAATCTTCAAAGGAAACAAAGATTGAGGGTAGCCATTTTAAAAAGCATCTAGTGCTTTAAAAATATTTAGCCTTTTAAAAGAACTGATTAATCATATGTGCTTTTGTCAGATTCTAAGCTTTATTCCATCTGATTTTTGTAGTATGTTAACATATAAAACCTAAGCTACTTAGGGTGCTATCTGCTGCCCTATTTTCTGTCACAGCAGCTGAGAACAGTGGTGGCAGAAGAGCTGCCAGATCTCCCGCATAAAACACAAGCAAGCAAAAGGCAGGCCTTTCTCCACAGAGCACGGGTGTCAAAGATACGGGTCACGGGGTTCCTTTATCTGGCCCCTAGGTCTCAGAGTTGACCCACATACAGCACATGACCTGTGCTGCATGCAGCACCCACCCTGGCTGGTCCAGACGGCATCACATACAGTGCTCTGTCCAGGACTTCCACTGCATACAGCATGGATCCTTGACCAGCTGGAGTGGGTGCATGCACAGGCGCTGTGTTCAGTGCGATCCTGAACAGCTTAAGTGGACTCTGTGTATGCTGGGTCTATCATGCAGGCGTTGGTGGGGGGGTGGAGGCGGAAGGGGTGCAGTGGACCCAATCCAGCCCATGGACTGGCTCTGCACCATTAATTTGACCCTGTGGGTCAGATGAGTTCGACACCCCTGTTCAAGAGGGCCTGCAACTGTGAATGTTCCTCTTCCCTAGGCACACCAGTGACTTCTCTTTGTGAGGCTATTGTCTTTGCTATTCAGTTTGGCTTTTGAGATTGTATTTAATGGCTTCTCAGGTAGTATGTTCTTGGGGCATTTTTTTTTCTCCCAAGTTTTGGATCAAAGTTTTTGGAGGGAATTTTCTCTTTTGGAAAAACTTCCACTAAGTACTCAGAAACCTTTCCATCAAGGCTTTTCAATTCTTTTACAGATTAACTGTTTTGCTTCTAAGTGAGGCACAATATGTAAGCAACAAATGTACTTATTCAGTACTGCTCATTACTCCTTTATAACATTCATTTTCAAGCACTTTCTAATAACAATATTAATAAATGTCTGTAGGAGCATGACAACTCTGGAAATAGTTAAAGGGAACATTCTTTCAATAAATATATACAAAACATTTCTTGGCTTTTGATATTTAAGGTGCTTATAAAAATATGAAACATATTGGTCTTCTGAATAAATTAAAATTACTGAGATGTGCATTATTCTATATGTTCTCTCGTGTTCCATCATTAGTGGGCCCATAAAGTCTCTAGAGTAAGCAGGTGCAGCATTTCTAAAACATCAGTTTCTCACCCTTCTAGTAAAAATAACAACTAAGTGCAGCTTTGTAGAGGGGAAAAGATCAGTCCCTAGAGCAATCAGTTCCCAATGACTAACAGATCATCTATCTAAAGTTATACAAATGGCCAGAGAAAATATTTTGTAGAATTCACCACTGCCACTAACATTTTCTCCTTCAATATTTTGGATCTTGTCATGAAAAATATAAACAGCCTTTTATATGAAACAGCTGAATATATCGCAACAACTTAATTAAAAAAAAACCTGTCAGAAGAATCCAAACAAAATATTTAGAAATATAGTACTGTGATACTGGGCTCCAGAAAATAGTAACTTAAGTCTTTAAACTCAATAGAGACAAATACCCAAAATGTTTCATAGATAATCTCAGGATTTACAAACTCATTGTACATGTGCAAATCTCAGGACACTATCTTTAACAGTATACAACAAGCCCATAAGTACTGTTCTGTGAAAGCATAAGTAGTCTCTGTCATTTTAAACACACACGTAATACACATACAATCTCCCCCTCTCTCTCATTTGAGAATCTGTATTAACCCTAGAAGTGTAAGTGTATCCCTTCTATCTCTGCATCATGAAATTTGTAAAAAGACTTATTATAGCAACCAGTCTAACTCCCTGCCAATACAGGATTTTCCAAGTAATTGGAAATAATGCCTGTCAGAAAGCACAGCTATCAAATGTACTGAACATGACGTTCGGAAACAGATCTCTGTTCATTTCTCTCCAACTCAAAATGAAAAATGAGAAAAAGCAGGTATTTAAATAGCAATACTACAACAGATATTAATTGGGTTTCTTTTGAAGCTGAAATAAAAAACATATCAGTACCATAAATTGGTATTAATATTTTACCACCTGGTAAGCTGCCGCTTCAATTTCTTTCCCTTTAGTCATTAAAGTATGACCTACAATTTGTAGAAAAAAAAATCAGCTATGGAGTATATCAGTGTTCTGACAGAAAGAAATGATTCTGATAGAAATAATTTACATTTCAAAGAAATACTTTTACTCTCTTACTTAAAAAAAAATGTTAGGCAATAGGTTTTACAGTCCTTCCAATGTACAGCCAACAAAAGTTCTACACCTTCCAGAAATGGCAAATATATATAAATTGTTGCTTGATTCCTCCATGAATGTGTAACATTTTAAAACCAGCACCATTTAAAATGACAAACATAACTGTTTGCCAGTTCAAATGTTTTGTTAGAATTTGTCAGAAGCCGTGGATCCAAATGTCATAGATTCCCTTCAAGTATTCAAAATCCTATCCAAAGCCTTAGAAGTAGGAAAGGAAGAACACATGATACTATTTAGAAAGTTCCAGTTATGAGTAACTAACCTTATTTTCTTTATTAAAAATTCTCTCCCCAGCAATAACCTTCTTACTCAACCCTCAAGCTGAGAGTGTAATATTGAGCTCTGAGTTCCATGAACCATTTTCACAGATTTTAGAAGTGGCATTATTCTTAATAATGTCAAAAATACTTTGCGTTTAGTAGAATGACTCTTCTGCTATCAAAATGTTCCTTTCTAACTACCGGAGTTATGATAATTACTGAAAAGAAATTACTTCTCCCTTGGAAAAGAAATTGCTTCCCCTTGTTTATTGTCCTCAGGGGCAAGTCCAATCTCACATTTTCTAAAATGATCTGTCCTAGTGAAAATAAGAGCACAGATGCAGCTTGGACATTGAATTTATGTAGCTTAACTTCCGTATGTAAGTAAAGGGACTCAGAGAAGCCTAGGAAGCTAATACGTTTGAGAGAGAATTCATAAAAAGATGTTGAAATATAATGCATGCTAGAGAACATCCTTCTCATCCAGGCATTGCAAACGGCGAACATATCAATGGGCTCATCACAAACATGGGTGCATTTTCTTGTTCATTCTGACAAGAAAATGCACCACTTAAAACCTGTCATTTCATCCAGATTTCCTTTTTCATAAATAGAGAACAAACTACACAGAAGTATAGCCCTGTCACTGAATCATCTAACTTTATGAAACTAGTTCTCAAGCTGGGCATTCCTAACAAACTGATTAATTACTAAGCATATAGTAGACTACACTGAGTGTAAGAACTGGAGGGAACACACTGAAGGTGTTGGGGCTAAAGCATGAACCACAAATGTGCAGATTTGTGTAGAGAGAAATGTACTGTTCCCCTATATTTACTGCTTTAAATAATCCTAGGATTTACCACACATGCAGGTCTGAGTGTTCAAAACAAACACAGATCTACTGAGGCAATCCTTTATGAAGAAATGACTGTGGTTGTGTACAAGCATTACATTTTTACTGGAAGAATTGCTGTTCTCCCAGTAGAAATAAGATGTATACAAACACTCACTGAATTCTCCCTAGGCAAAACATGCCCCTTCCAGGAGAAGATCTTCTGGGTCTCAACCTAAAAGATCTCCCTTAAGAGAGTTTCTCCCATAAGGGTGAATACCTGTACACTCTCCTCCCAATCTGCTCCA